CTTTTCTGTCAGTAGCCTGCCTCGCTTCAAATCTGAATATACTAGGAGGAAGCTCAACTTATCTGTCAGTAGCCTGCTCGGTTTCAAAACTGAACATACTTGGAGAAAGCTCAACTTTTCTGTCAGTAGCTTGCCTCGGCTTCAAAACTGAACATACTCGGAGAAAGCTCAACTTATCTGTCAGTAGCCTGCCTCGGCATCAAAATTGAACATACTTGGAGAAAGCTCAACTTACCTGTCAGTTGCCTGCCTCGGCTTCAAAATTGAACATACTTGGAGGAAGCTCAACTTATCTGTCAGTAGACATCTCGGCTTCAAAACTGAACACACTCGGAGAAAGCTCAACTTATCTGTCAGTAGCCTTCCTCGGCTTCAAAACTGAACATACTCGGAGGAAGCTCAACTTTTCTGTCAGTAGCCTTCCTCGGCTTCAAAACTGAACACACTCGGAGAAAGCTCAACTTATCTGTCAGTAGCCTTCCTCGGCTTCAAAACTGAACATACTAGGAGGAAGCTCAACTTATCTGTCAGTAGCCTGCCTCGGCTTCAAAATTGAACATACTTGGAGAAAGCTCAACTTATCTGTCAGTAGCCTTCCTCGGCTTCAAAACTGAACATACTCGGATGAAGCTCAACTTTTCTGTCAGCAGTCTTCCTCGGCTTCAAAACTGAAACACTCGGAGAAAGCCCAACTTATCTGTCAGTAGCCTTCTTCGGCTTCAAAACTGAACATACTCTTAGAAAGCTCAACTTATCTGTCAATAGCCTTCCTTGGCTTCAAAACTGAACATACTCGGATGAAGCTCAACTCTTCTGTCAGTAGCCTGCCTCGGCTTCAAAACTGAACATACTCGGAGGAAGCTCTTGCATATCGAATAAGTTGAAAGACGCTAACACCTAAAGCAGGTAATAGAAGAATATTATTACACAAATGAAGAAGGTTGAGAATCAAAAAGGTTGAAACAGTCTTGTTTTTCATATAATTAAGTTGTTATTCGTCTACGTGGGGTATGCAATATTTTCATCAATACTTTTAAAATATTCAAGAATGATAATAAGGACAAGAACCTAAAAATACTGCCAAGACCTTGGTAACATTCATAAAAATGTACTCTTTTCAAGACACCCATTTTGTTGTAGACAAGATACAAACATAATGATACAGAAAGTTCTGAACATATCTCTTTTTTCGTAGAAATTCTGCTCACAAATTCTGAAATCAATCGTCTGGAATCTTAATTCGAAATAAGATATAAAATGCATTACAATTGAGGATGAAGAGTACAAACTTTCACAATATGCTGATAAAACCTTTCTTATCTCGGATGGTTCACTTAATTTGTGATCCATGCATGGTATTTACCGAGAATTGGATTATTTTGTTAATATGTCTGGCAGAGATAAAGTTCTTAAAAACTAAAATGATATGGATTGGAAGTAAAAACTTAAACATTACCTAAACTAACCCATTCAATTCTTACTTTACCAAATCAGAAAATTTGATGATGTTTGAGACAAAAATGTTTTATTTCTATGTAAAATCAATATTCATCAGGTAGCAAAAAATCAGAAATAAATTAACGTTGTATTAAAGGGGATCACAAAAAGATTTTTTTTTGAAAAAAGTTTGTAGTTTAAAATATGTAGATATGAGGAAAACGAAAGACATTGGCAATTTTTAATGCACTGTAAGTCACACAGTTCCATTTACTTCCTACTTCCCTATTTGATTCAGAGGAAAATTTTAGATTTTTTTTTAAATATTATTTGTAATATCTTATATTATTGGTAATAGAAGGATTGTTTTCTTTGTTTACCCCCTCTTCTCTTCACAGTACACAAAAGCATAAGTGTTGTGTGTACATAATTAAGACGGAGTTAAATTGTGTAAATATGATATTAAATTGTACCAAAAGATTGAATTTTTCATGTGTAAATGTTCCTGTGATATAGTGTTATAAAAATGAAAAAAAGTTGTTAGTGGGCCCTTTTCGACTAAAGCATCCAAATATGAAATATATATGACAGACAGACTCTGGTGTCTTCAATATCAACTTCAGTTGGAGGGATAATATCGAATCGACATATGAATGAGAGTACATATGTAACAATTAAGAAAGAATAATTTTCAACGTCCATTTTTATTGAAGAAGCAGTGATCTGTGATATTTAAATGAATATTTCTTAGTTCATCTTTAGGAATGGTGATAAAAAGTGGGGGAAAAACAGTAGCTTTAATTGTCATACGTGTATATATAATTTAAGATTTATATCTCTCAATTGCTTCGATTCGCAAGAGCATGCTCTACGTATGTAAAATTTCTAAAACGAAGTAAATTATTGACAAACAAGTTGATGAAATAAAAATATCAGCAGTCTCGTTTATAGTCGTTTTAAGTAAGTCATATGACCTATGACAATGACCTTGTCCCAAAACACAATTTATCATTTGGTCAAAAGTTGACTGTTTTTCCATATTTCAGCCCCCTATATGTACGCTTAATTCTTCTACAAGCAAGAAAATTAATATGTTAACATACAAATTACCAATCTTATAAAATAACTTTAATAAACTTCCTTACCGAGGTATATGGCATCATACATCATGCATAGAAGATGCAACATACTTCTGTTGGTATAAAACTTATTTATATTTATATCAACATGCAATATAATTACGTTGGCAAGCAAGATACGTATTTCAACATGCAACATAATTATGTCAACATGAAATATGTTGAATCATTTATGTCCAAGTGCAAAATTATAATGTTACCATATATAACTTATTTATGTCAACATGCGACTTATTAATGTCAGTACAATTTATGTTTTAACATGCAAGATAATAAGCTGCATCTCAACATACATCTCTCATGTTAACGTGATTATTTTACGCGTCAACACAGTCTTCTTGCATGTTGACATAAATATGTCGCATCAACATGTAATTTATGTTTTTACATGCAAGATATTTGTTAATATGCAAGACAATAAGCCGCACGTCAACAAACATATCTCACATATTACCATTATTAACTCGAATGTTAAAATAATTATAAATAATGTACATCATTAATTCCCATGTCTTTATAATTATTTTGTATGTCCACATAAATAAATATGCATGTCTGCATGAATATTTCGCATGTTAACATAAATAAGTCGCATTTCATTATAATTATGTTGGATCGCATTTGTGATATGTTATGTAATGGCGTTAGCGTGTACCAAAAATTTAATTAGATACTCTAACGAAAATTGGTAACTTGTAGGTTTAAAAAGTATTTTTACCTATAAATTTGACTCCTGGAAAAGCTAGCTTAAAGCTTAACTAAAATGAAAAAAAAACATTCAGATGATCTGATTTTCAATTTGGATAAGGTTTCAAAGAAAGTAGAGACGCACAGTTTAGGTCGATCTGTAGTCGACGAATGCCCATAATCAGTTACATTAACATCGAAAAGTGGCATTCATGTGTGGTAAGTCGCCCGCGTGGCACAGTGGTTAGAGCGCGTCTGCTTTAGAGTCGCAAACGCAGATTGTGTCAGGTGGTCATATCATATTTTAATTATTATCATTCTATTTTTATTTATTTTTTTATTTGGTTTTAGAGCTTAAATTTTTAATCTTGTTCAACTTGTGTTGTTCAATGCACCGACTACAGTGCATTAAGTACTGATTTTAATTTCTAGCGCCAATCCACGATTTTTTTTATATCCCCAAATTCTTCACAATAAAAATATCTTTATTTTTTTCTGTGTGTTCATATTTTTTTTCCTCATCACATACTAGAAGAATAATTTAATTGAACAAAACTTCCATTGTAGCATTTTCATGGTAAAAAGATCTTTTCAACATTTTTTTGAAATACGTAAAAAAAAACTCTTATTCCCACAAATCAATAGTAAATTTATCTGTTTTGGGGATGAATCTTCTATTACATGGACATGCAATGTATCTCTATAAAACTAAAAGATGTTCACGTCATAGTAGGCTACATATAAAATTTAAAACACTTGATCTCTTGTACTTTTTGTTTAGAATATAGCCCAAATAGGCACACTGATCGATCGATACATAGTTAAAAAAAAGAAACATGAAATTAGGATTTATATGTAAGAGGTCATATGAGATTGGTTGATTATGGCTGTTTTCATTCGAGTCTGCAATATTTTAGGTCATATGAGAAAACAATTTGTATAGTTTCAAATTTATTGCATGGAATTCCTTTGATTACACCACTTCCATATTTTTTTTACTCCATTTCCATATTTTACAAAAACCATGACAGATTGGTAATGAAAAGAGTTAATCCTAGTCTTTGTTGAAATTGTTAAAGACTATAGCTCAAGCATTCTAATGTTCTTTCTCATTACATATTTCATCTACACAGTTTTATAAAATATTCATATGATATATACTTAGTTACTTAGAGTATATTGATTTATTTGATAAGGGTGTCCTCCTACTTTTTAAAAACAAAAAAAGTTGATTTCATTCATTTGTATACACGTCACAAACTTACGTAAAGCCATTAAATATTATATCATCATATGGTAGATGTTATTTATCAATAGATTTTTGGTCCCGCAAATAAACCATATAGAAAGGAAAAACTCCTGTAATATAAATATTTGTTTGTTTTGTTTTTTTTTTGTTTTTTTTTTCATAGTTGAAACATTCTAATAATTATCATTTTGGTTTCAAATTAAGTTACTATCCTCCTTGGATGGTTAACAAATCAAAATCGATTCTCCTCCACTTTGTAAGCAACTGTTTGTGCTCTTCCTTATTAACCACCTAGAACAAATAATGAAAATAAAAATTACAATGTGAATACTTAACAAAGATCTGAAAATTGTGACGGTTTTGATTTCAATATTTTAAACTTGAGAACTAAATTATCTATTATGCTTCATGATTGTGTATATTTTATTGTGGATTCTAGACCTGCATTGAACAAATAATTGGTAATTTTTTTCTTGAAATTTACTTACTGATCTTCGGTTCACAGTATCCCGTATTTCCACACACATGCCAATATGGACATAATGTAGGATCCTTCAATTAAAATGATTAAAAACTTAAAATCAATTCAAAGTATTTCTTCATTGATACTAACCTAAATACGTGTATACGTAAAAAAAAATATTGTCTTACATCACCACAGTAGATGTCAGAGGGATCAGTAGGTTTCACGGTTGGTCTTGGTGTTGTGGGTGGCCTTGGATCTATATCTAATAAACAAATCATAAGTCTACTTTAAAAATATATTCCTATTTTTTTTAATGTAATATAAAATCAACGTCATCAAAATATGGAAAGTATGGGAGAACTTAGTTGGATCTCTTTGTATTTCATTTCTCTCCAGATTGAGGATCTTTCTCTCTTTAATATTGGATTATAAAGATACAACCGATCACGCAAATCTAGCTTTGCATCCTAATTGATCCAGTATATAAAAGACTGTTCGTTTAAAGATCAAAATAATAATATTGTGTCGCGTTAAAACAAATTAGGAGTTAATTACCATAGGTACTGGATCGGTATAAATGGGAGTGGAATGGGTAGGGTGTTTCAGAGGACAAGAAATTGTTCTCTGAGAATTTATACGCGCCCAAATCGACAATTTGGGTATATAGTTTTTATCTGTCTATAAGTTCGTCTTTTATATTTTTGAAACAGAAATACTACCCCAGCAGCTCACGTCATTTCATAGAATTATATATAAATCGATGGACCTATTTTCGCGTCTCACATTGGGAATCAAACCTGCAACGTAAGGATCAACTCCTTACTCCGCGACTCTGGAGCAGACGATCTACCACTACGGGAAAAGATGGTTTAATTCATATATAACAAACAAACTTTTACTCAACGCAATGGAATTGTAATGATCTGATTTGAAAGCAAGTAATTTCTTCTGGCAGTCTTAATATAGTAATATAATAATAAATAAAATGTTAAATTTGAAATTATTTCACTAATTGCTTTGATATCTTACGTATCAGACATCTTCCATCAACACAAACTCCAAAAGGTCCACAATCTCCATCCTGAAAAGTAGACTTAATTGGTTAAACTTTAAATAAATATATTATTTTTATAACGTTCAAGTTTGTAACATTTTATTTGTACAAATCATTGGACTTTTGGATCAACCCTCGTACTTAATGTAAAAAATGTAAACAATAACATGGATTTATATCAAAACATACTTAAGATAACTAATTGCGATGCAGTCAATTAATTAGTGTTTAAATGTATCTTACCCATCTGCAGTAGTTCCCTACAATGGAAAACAAATACTGAAAAAATCTAGTGTTTTATTGATGAATACGTCGTCTCTTTAATCATGCTCTTAATATAAGGATTTTATAAGCTTAAATTGAATAAAAACACACCTAGTGGTCTTCTTGTTGTATCTTATCATGCATTTTTTATATGCATATAATAATTTTTAACGTATAAAGAATCTAATTTTATTTATAAACACAATTTGTATTTAGATATTGCTTTATTTAGCACATATTCTCTTCTTACTGAATTACTTTTATTTGATATAATCATATCAAAATATCGATTGTAAAATATAGTTTTAAGAATTAGATTCAATCAAATCAATGTAGATGTTTTGATGTAAAACAATGATAAATATTTGCTTATGAGGTACCAGTATTTGAATGAAATGGATGAAAAAAACAAACAGCGATCTTATAAAACTGATGTTTTAAAAATATTAAAAAAGACAAAAATTATATAAAAAGACAAAAGTGTGTGGAGGGCATAAAAACCGAAAATTAGAAATGGAACACCAAAGAGACGAGACGTGTTCCTATTTAAAGATCCTGAAATGCATATTAATCTGATGCTTCTTAGTCATAGAAACAATCTTTTTTAAAACAATAGTGTAAATTAACTTAACATAGCAAAATATGATTTGATGTATATGTTTTGAAAATAAAATGGATACTTTAACTATAAATATTGTGATTTATTATATAGTCTATTTATAGTCCCTATATAATTTATACAAGCGCAGACAGTTCATAACACTACATATTCACCGGAGGGTCAATGCGCGTGCGACAGCATTGTGACGTCACAATCAAAACATCGAACAACGGTGTAAACAATGCTTGCAACGGCCGCAGCGAGCTACGTATATGAGGAGAAAAACATAATTATTCAAACCTATTTCAGATTATTTTTTAACATTTGGACGTCTTAAACATAGCAAAACTCGGAAAGGAAAACACGGAGGTTACAAAGAGTAATCTGGAGGTTTTTTTATTTTCAACAATGGAAGATAGCAAATGAAAATGGTGTCGTCATACAGCCTTCAATGTCTTACAGTGTATTTACTCAAATCCCGACTATATAATAAAACAATTATGGACTCTTTTATGTTGAATATGGTTTGTTATTCACCAGAAAAATATCCATATTGACCTCGGCTTCGCCTCGGTCAATATGAATATTTTTCTGGTGAATAACAAACCATATTCAACACCAAAAGAGTCCATAATTGTATAATATTGTGTTGAACTCTAATAATTGCAAAGAGGAAGCAATACATTGGATATTGATCTATTTTACGGTGAAAAAAAAATATTTCTCATATATAAATTCATTTAAAAAAATTGCTAAACAAACGTAGCTTTATTCATTTATACATCAGTATAAAGGTACCAAAATGACATACATGTATATCAACTTTAATTTAATCTTTGTGTGAAAATTTTATCATTTCTCAACTTTTGTCTTGATGAGCTATTTTAAAAAATAATGAAATAACTATAGTCCTGTCATGTTGTCAATCCATAGATAATTGACTTTACAGAAACACATCGTCCTCGCACTTTGTTCTGGACATGAAAAGCCTATATAAGTAAAATATAGGTGTAAGTATTTTAAAGGAGGGATACTTTTCAGAACATTTTCAGAATCAAGAAGACATTAACACTAATTGATTATATCAGATAGATTAAATTTGGCCGATTTATATTAGAGGCAAGGTCATGTCAAGGTCATTTCCTTTTCCGTTGATATTTAGAATTAAAAAAAATTACTGTTGCGAATCATATGCTGCCTACTTCTATTTTGAAACATGAAAGTTTTTTCTTTTTGCATAAAAAGATATTGTCATTTAGGGTCTATAAGATAATATAACCAAACTGACCAAAATAATTTGACCAACATGGCTATTGGCTAATCCGAATTTTCTCCTTTTTTTTATTTTAAGGATATATTAGTTATTTTTATATATGCTTCCTATAATTAAATTATTCTTATTTTCACACATGGTAAAGAAGTCATAATGAGATAGAAAATATTAAATGATACAGAAACAAAAAAAAGTTGTGATTGTTCACTCAGAGAGAAGAAACACTTCTTACGGATTTCTGGCTCACATCTTTACGTAGATGGGAGCTTTTAAAAGGGAACATAATTATAGTGTGTTGGAAAAATCATATTTATTTGATATATTTTATAACTTTAGTCTCTTATTACTAATTTAACTTATATCTTAAATTTTTTTCAAGTCAAGGTTTGTGTAAAAATTATAACTAAATTCACTGTTCTATAATAATTTAGAGAAGAAGAAAAGAAGATATTTTTATAAGCTACTATTCCGCCATAAATAGTTCCTACTTTACTTCAATAACAATAAATATATTGTCGTGTTTAATTTTCCATTTAAAAATGTCTGTTTCATAAGTGGGAATGGCGAAAAATAATTTGTCTGGAACAAACTAAATGAATAGCTCTCTACGTAATGTATAGTCAGATCTAATCTGCTGTTTATGAGAAATTAACAATTATAATAAACTTGTGTATTTGTTGATTTGCAAAAGATTTCTCTATGATGAAACTTTTTTTGATTTAAGGAGGCTGGAGGTCGACAAATTAACCACCAGATTTAACTTATTTTTTTAGATATGGTATCTTACAGCTGTCAGCTATCATTTGGCAAAGAAAAAATTCAAACATTTTAGTTTTAAAATTTGATCATTTTTGTATATCTTTATATGGAGCTTTTCTTTTAAAGGAGGTCGAAATAGTCTGAAAATGGCTGCCACTTCCCCAGCCTCTTTAAGTGTGGATGCTAAACAAAAACGAGACAAAGAAAAAAAAAAGAAGAAGTTTTGAAAGATGTCAAATCTTTCCGAATTAAAGTTTTTACAATACTGCTTTAATCAATGGCAGACCTACAATTTAATACAATAATGAATGAAGACATATTTCTTCAAGTACTCAACAGTTGTTTTGGGCATTTTTGATATTTATATAAACTTGTCAAATCTTTCTGTTGCATTGTTTGATAATAGTCTTGTTATTAATTATATCAAAATATCTGTACATATGACACTTACATATAAATGACATAATGATACCTAAAGTATACCAGTATTGTGTGAAGTGTTAATGTGTAGTGTGATATTATTTGTACATCGTCTTAGCTTTATTTTGAATGACATGTATTTATTTATTTTTACATAATTGACATAAAAGCGCCTTTTTTGTTGTTGTTGTTGTTTTTTTTTTTTTTTTTTTTTTTTTGCTATGGTCCATTCGATATATTTACAAAATATTGATTTTAAATTTTCACAGAAGATTTAAAAATATGAATGTAATAATTTTTATCATGCTACAATAAGTATTCATGGAGTATAAAAGCGATATAAGCATGCTAAATATTTTCTAGCATATTTTTAAATATTTTTTGAATATATATTTTTATATATTTTTTAAATATATGTTTTTTGCTATGGTCCATTCGATATATTTACAAAATATTGATTTTAAATTTTCACAGAGGATCTAAGAATATGAATGTAATAATTTTTATCATGCTACAATAAGTATGCATGGAGTAAAATAGCGATATAGCATGCTAAATATGTCTAAGGAAAAAGTTTAAAATAAATTTAATCCCTGAACTAACGTCAAAGGCGCGGGGATTGTAGTGGAAAGAAATGTCATTTGGGATTTTGTGACGGCACATACACATGGTCCCATACATAAAGTGTACAATTTTTTTCTAAGTATGATTAAATATTGTTAGAGAGAAGGGAATGTTTTATCTGATAAAAAATAAGACGATAAAATCAATGAAGTAAATGGAGGTAATTTAAATTTATTATAAAACACGATAAATAAGAAAGGAACCATAAGAAATATACAAGTTTTGCTTAAATTAAATTTTCATGCCATGTTATTGAATACTTACGAGGCATGCACATTCCATTCACACAACGTTGATTCCATGGACAATTCTCCGTTGATAGCTAGGTTCGAAAATACAATGTTTTCCTTATTTCAAATTGAATGAAATGTATTTTCAGTTTATATTACATTATGTCTTTTGATTTTTTTCGCACGTATTTTTGAGTTATTAAGGAATTATATACTGTGTACGAAATATGAGATTTTATTACTTAAAGATATACATACTGGATGACAAAGCTCCCATCGTGCACCAACACATGATAACATAAGCAACATGATACTCAAATGAAAAAACATCTCTGCTCAAATAAAGGCACTAAAGCTAGAAAATACAAAAAAGATGTGATTTTAAATATTTTCTTAACAAGTAATTTTTTATCCAACGCCATGGGACAAATACTTGCACAGTGTACACATAGATAAAAGAAATTTATAATAATGTTTCCCGTTTCCTGTAGGTTGAAATTTGACAAATTCTTGAATTCTTTTTTTTATAGAAATATTTATCCTGAAAACTACTTTTGAAGCATCGTTTTAAAGAAAATGCGTCCTCAGAGATTTATTTCCTGAATTAGAGGGAAAAGGTTGCAGTCTTAAATTGACGAAGATCAAGAAGGATTTTAATAAAGATGGTTCCTGCTGGACTTAGATATGAGATTGTACACTATACGTGTTCTTACATATTTAATTAGAAGAATTACACTTTAACTTTCTATATTTATAAGGGGATATACATGAACAAGAAAGTAGCCAGTAAGACCAATATCATTTGAACAATTTGAAAACAAAATATTGCATTGTATAACTTTTTAAAGTTTATATGAAGGAAAGTTAAAATATACAGTTTTGTATCATCATGATGTGAGCTTCTTCTACAATTTCGATGAAGAAATGAGGATACATGTAATAACTTTATATAAATGAAATATTTTGAGATAACCAACAGTATTCGAGCTCAAAAGTCTATTAAACATAACAAAATAGTAGAGCAAACAAAGATCTCGAAAACATCAGAGGTGGGATCAGATGACATAAAGGAGCAAGTAGGTACATGTTTATTGCACACATATAATGTAAATCTGATAAAAGTATTGTATCACGATTCTCTAAAGTAATACCAGGTAAATATAGAGAAGATAAATAATACAAATTAAGCATAGGTACTAACTTACGTTAAACTGTTTATTTAACCATAATTTATTCTTGTACAATCATTGCTACTTTATTCACTTTATTCTACTTATTCACTATGAAGTTAACTATGCAAGCTATTTTCATCTTAAAATATTAACAATTCAATATAGTAGTACAGAATGTAATATTTGGAAATAATTAGGGATGGCATTTTGTAACCGATTAACCGATTATTGGTATGAACGATGGCGATCGGTTAAAAAATCTGTAATCGGTTAGTCGGAAAAAATAAAATTTCTATACATTTGAACTTAATTTTGTTAGAAATTCATTTTTGAGCTCGAGGAAAAAGAAGTTTTTACATAAGTGTTGATAATTCAGCGTTTTCGCATATCCAAGCTGACTTAGATGTAATTATAGTTCTCCGGAATGACATTGTAGGTAATTGGCCATTTTGTGTTTGAAGTGTTAATTACTGTTAAAACACAATGTAGTTACCATGACTGTCCTGTATTTCTCTAATGATAATCAATTCACTGTTGAGAACTGCCAATTAGTATGCTTGCAGCTATCTATTATCGAAAAAAATCACAAAAAAAGTTTGTAAGTTAAGTGATGTATTTCAGACTTAGTTTTAAATATGGTTACAACGCAGAATGAACGTATGTGAAATCTGCATTGGAAAACTATCAATGATTTCTCAGACATGATTCGTAATTATAATTTTCTTAATTTTTCGCAGTCTATAATGAAACAAAAATAAAATAGATAGGTTTGAGTTTTTTTAAAGCAAGAATCAAGACAAATACAATGATTTAACATCTATCAGTGTTCCTGTATATAAGAATACATTTACTTAGGAAAAACGAGTTATGTACATAAAGTAAAATAAATGCTTATTATTTCAAATAATACATATTAATTATTCGAGAAATATATACGGTATATTTGAATACATGGCTTACAGAACATAAACTACATAAAAGGTTTTTGTTTAGGTACTAAATAGTAAAGTTTTACCTTTCTGTAGACGATCTCACAACGTTACAAATAAATAGAGTAGTCTGAAGGTATTTATATCTTATTCAATTTGCAAAAAATTAAACTATATACAAAATAAGTTTGATGCATCGCACGTATCTCCATGCAGGTTTGATAAATTACATGAATAATCATGTTATTGACAATTCTCTGTTATTCGCAAATTTATGTACAAATTTAGCCTTAAAAATATCTTTAGTATGCATTTTTTTAAAACTAAACCAGTTCTGGTCTGAATTTCAGTTACATAATTACAAAAAAATCTTGTATCGAGTAAAGATGCTGTTTTTAAATTTCATATTTTATTCTATCACCATTTTTACTTTGTGAAAAAAGAGAATTTATTTTTAATATGTAGGACTTTCCGATGGGTTTACTTCAATACAAGCGTAAAACACACACAGAAACATTAAAGTGGTTTTTCATTCTTTGTAGATAGACTGGAATTTCCAAAGGTATTATTGTCATTGCACGTGTAACTTAAATAAGGTATTCACAGTATGCATATACATGTACCAGTACATTCTTGATTCTCGTGAAATAAATTATTTTTATAAGGGGCCCGGGTTCGAATCCCGGTCTGGTCCGCTGCCTTTTCTTCTCTTCCGTTACAACAGAAAAAGTTTTAATTTGTGCGCAATTTTTACGTTTTACTTTTCAGTTAAAAAAATAGTAATTATTATTTTTTGAATTGAGTAACATATTTTATAACGAAAAAAATGTTCTTATAATTTTCATAAAACATGCCTCAGCATATCTTATTTTCGACCAAACAGACAGAAACTCTTTAGAAAAAATTCTGAAATATTCCAATGCATGACGTCAATGTAATCAAAGTACTCAGAAGTACAGAGAGCCGGGCTCATTTACAGAGTAGAATGGATTTCTTACATGAATCACGTTTATATTCTGATGAAAAAATTATTTTAAAACTATCAATATAAACGGTAAGACACTGACAGTGAGTTTTTCAATCCTAATACCACGGTCCGATTTTGTCAGAATCAAAATTAATCTGGTACCGCAGCTGAATGTAAACAAACAGGCCAGTCTGGTTCCCTCTCCTGCTTTACTTCGTATGTGTAGAGAACTACGGTAACACTGATTATCAAAAATCCTTACGCTAATGAACTATGTTCTTTGACTTATGAAGTTTTCAAAGTCATTACTACTAATGTTAATTTTATATAGATAAAACTTCGTTTTATTTTTGTTGCTTTATTTAGCGTTTGTATTATCTCAAAGCGGTTGAGAGTAAGAACTATATTTTTGCACGTAACTTTAAAATGGCGACTATGGGGTCAACATCCTGCCTTGAACAGGATCACATAAGCCGGCAATTGCTCTTTGAGCAATAAGCCCGGCTAAAAATTGATTTTTAAATATGATTAAAGTCAGTGAAATTCTGTAAGATATGAAAACAAATTATGATCTGCATCTTTAAGGTAGGGTTCTTCTCATAATTCTTGTATTTAAAAATTTATGACATTTTCACAGAATCAAGAAGACAATATCACTAGGCGATGTCATCAATGAGATTAAATTTGACCTTTTTATATTAGAGGCAAGGTCAGATCAATGTCATTACCTTTTCCCGGACATTAAGAATAAAAAAAAATTACTGTTGCCAATCGTGCAATCTCTACTATCATTTCAAAAGATTGAATTTTATTCTTTTGCATAAAAAGAAACTTCCATATAGGGCCTACAAAATGATATTAATAAATTGACATGAATAATTAAACTAAAATGAATATTGGCTAGTTGAATCATAGTACAAATATTCCCTACTTTTCTTAAATTTTAGGGTATATTTTTTATTTTTACATGCTTCCTATATTTATTTTTTTCTTATTTTCACATATGGTAAATGTGAAAATAAGAAAAAAATAAATATAGGAAGCATATAAAAATAAAAAATATACCCTAAAATTTAAGAAAAGTAGGGAATATTTGTACTATGATAATATGTTTTGTCATAAAAAGATACAAAATGGTACATGAACAAAATGTTTTGATGGTTTACTAAGAGATAAAAACACTTAAATACGGATTTTTTGGCTCAAATCTGTACTTAATTAGATTGGAAGCTTTTAAAAGTTCTAGTTCGCTGAAAAATCATATTGATTTTGATACGTCCGTCCCTCTTTATTAATGTAACTAACATTTGAAAATTTCTTCAAGACTTTGATTTTGTAAAATGATAAGAAGTTCATTTTTTCTAAAATAATTTTGAAGATATAAGATATTTTCATACTCCACCTTTCCGCCAAAAATATAGCCCCTGCTAGTTTTCAAACACAGTTTACCATTTCTATGTACAATTGGAATGGGGAAAGAAAAATGTGGTCTTTTAAATCTCTTACACCTAATTATAAAAGACATATAAGCAAATATACTTTTAGTCAGAAACCAGAGAAGAATCCTACCTTAACAACAAAAGACAGCAACAACAAAAAAACTTCTCATAAGTTTGTACACCGTTCATGTACAACTTAATTCAATCAATGTGGAATAGATGGAATACAAACAAAAGCTCAAAAGTTCATCGAAAAAATACAAATTGGGAGCAAAAAATGGAGCAGCTACATTTATTTGTTGTCGAGGTCACAGCAATTTGTCTCATGTACAAGTTTTTTTGGACTAATTCTGCTTCATCTGTGTGCATAAAAATGAGTCTGCTTGTAGAAGGGCAAAATTAGCACACTGAGAATTTTGTACTTTTTCAATTAATACAAATTTGATCATAAGATTTTGTGCAGAAAGTTTGCATTGACTTTGTCAAAAATTATGCAGCATTTTCCCGTGAGCTTGAAATTTACAAGTTCTGTTGTCGATATAATGACCTTGTCAGCAAATACAACCTATCATTAAGTCAAATGCTGATTGACGTTATTCATGTTAAATGTTAGATCATTACTAGTAATCTGAATATCCGTTATTACATGATCATGACAATGAGCACCAGGCGAGTGTAACCTGTCGGCAGGGGATGCTCACTCCTCTATGGCACCTGATCCCACCTCTGATTTTCCAGGAGGTCTGCATTTGTGCTTTGCCCCGGATTTGTATTGTTTTTATAGACATTGAGCTTGTATATATTGTTTATTTCAACCATTATTTAAAAATTCTCCATATTTCTTTAAAATATAAATTTAACATTTTTTTCGTTGTTCATTAAATTATGCTTACCTGACCAAAAAATTAACTTGATATCACTTCTTTAGTGAGAAAGTTACCTTTAATTTCTATCAGGTGAGAAAAACTAATATGGACCGCTCTCTGGGAAAAGGGGTCTTATTGACAAAATTTTCGAAATTGACTTTTTCAAATATTTCAAATCTACAGCAAATTTGGGACACACAGTCAAAATTTTAGCATTTAACTTGCTATAGTTTTAAAATTATACGTGTTTGAACAAAACATGTTGCAATTAAACAATAACGTCAATGGCGTTATTCAATAACGTCATCTTTTTTTAAATGACGTCTTAGAAACAAAGACTAATCAATTTCAACTTTCTTTTTCCCGTACTTTACGGCTTTAGCAGAATTATGTAGAAAATAGGGTATTTTCATGACATTAAATTTGAAATCATATGAAAAGTACTGTAGATTCCTTATTTTTAAGTTATTATGAAATCATCAAATCGCGAGAATAATAAATCGCGAATGGACATTTGATGAAGAGATTTTACATAGATTTCAGCACCATAAAAATAAAGGCGAATAATTTCATTTCGCGTGTTGTGCTTCTCGCGAAATTACGCGATAATTAATTCCACGCGTATATTTAGGAATCTACAGTAAACCGGATACCTATATTAAATTTTATATTGATTTAAAGAAGAGGCCATGAACATACTAATTACCATTTTCTGAGAGACTGTAGGCAATCTGGATACATTTCCTTTGTCGAATATGAAAAAAACTCCTATATTCATGACTGTTTTTCTTTATTTTTCATTGAAAATGACAGTTTAAAATACAGTTTCTCATCTTGTTTTCCTACAAATTATGCCCCGAAACACCTTATTTGACCAAGCTAAAGTTGTAAAGCATCAATAAAGGAATTTATTCCTTAAGTTTGATAAATCTGTAGGCACCTTTCATTTACTAGATCTTGACCTTAATAACGTTATCTTTGTAAAAAGAAATGAAGTCTTTGAAACAAGGACTTAGATTAATTTAATGATTTAAAAGAAAAACCTAATTTTAATCTTGATATAAATCATTTTTCCTAACACATTTTTAAATATAAATATCATCAAGCACATTTATTAAATTATAAAGTGATGTATCCGTAGCGAATGACATTGTGTATATCCAATTTATTTCATAAAAGTGGAACACAAATGTTTTTTAACAATAAATGTTTTTAAAGGACTAAAAAATAATTATGATAACAAAGAAACATAAACCTAATATACAAAACAAAGCTTAGTATCATTACATGTACTTTATTCAAGCGGTTATCAGGCCCGATGGGAAATTGTGACCAGATAAATGTTTGCGGGTGCCAATTAGATCATTGGTCAGTAAACTAACTGGTCAATCCTTGGTAAAATTTCTCGTCTTTTAACATGCTGATCTTTACTTCGGCTTATGAACCTTATTCCCCTAAGGACAAAATACTCGGCTTTGTACTTTGTAATCAGTTGGGTTCATTTGTATTCCCCTTAAAGATGTAGGAAAGTCTTTCATTCCAGCCACTATCATGCGGGGTACCCGAGTGAAAACTGTTCCATGATTGTTTCAGGCTGATCAACGAATTTGTCTCCAAAGTTTTTAATAAATGCTGTTTGACATTGAGCTTGCATCATGAACTGATTTGTCCTGCTGCCCCATCATAATTTGCCACATAAAATTAAACACTTACATTTTTTCCATTAATAAATAAACATATACATGTATTCCATTAATAAAAAAAACCTTGCTTTGGCCGTTGCAGTTATCAGTATGAATTGTACATTTAAGTTCTGTATTTCAAATAAAACCACTA